TTTTCGATCGTTTCATAATATAATTTTTTTACGCCCCCTAAGTGTAGAATTTAGACTGTGACCTTCAAACCCTTCGTTTCATCGAAAGAGATTCTCCACTATCAGAACAAAAAAGACTAATTAATTTTCAATCAATAATACATATAACCTTAAATAAAAGTAGAGTTAACTGAGTATAATGTAAACTGAATCTGTGACATCTACAACTGACTCATTCGAACTGAAATGCAGAATTTAATATTTAGATAATGGTTTACAATAAAAATATACTTAACTTCGATTATTCGTATATCGCTTCCTCAACATTCCTATTTGTAACGAATCGATTGACTAGATATTCTGAACTGCAGATAGAGGTGAATTCGAAAGCAATGTCGAGAAGCGCAAAAGCGACGTCGCGCCGCTCTAATACAGCAGCACAGCTGGCAGCAGTAGTTCTCAAGTTGCTTGCAACACAGTCGAAGGGACGTTTAAATATCGATGTAATTGCAGGAAGAAGCACGCAAGAAGAGAGCGTTCGTCGTCGTCGTAGTCGTCGAAGCAGTTGGTTGCGATAATTCACTGGCGCGCATAGAATCGAGTGCCGCCGCTCTCGGCGAACTCTCAACTCTCGACACGGGAAGTCGTTCTCTCTCTCTCTCTCTCTCTCTCGCTCTCGCCTATATAATTCTGCATCTCTCGTGTGCGAGGAGCGCGGCCCGCAACTTTATTGCCGAGCCCGCGCGAGCGCACAGTAAACAGGAATACGTGACTCCTTTTTCGCGGATTTGTTTATCCATGCCGAATAAATGCGCTGTGTGTTTGATTTATCGACCGAGTTGACAATTCCTTTCCGACTGTGTCTCTATGTGTGTGCGTGTGATTTATCGTGCACTGAAATTATAGACTTAAACGGGCATTTATATCTCTTATCGATGTTTAAAACTTTGATTCATTGCTTTCACTTTGTGCGATGCACGCGGGCTTTCGGTATTTTCTGCTGTATGGATATTGAGAAGGTATTAAAAAAGTACGTAATCAATGATGCAAATTATGGAAACATACGAGCGCGTAATTTGCTTGATGAAATTGGTATTCCTGTTATTGAAAATTATATTATCTGCTTATGTATTATCGTTGAATAGATGTTTACAAAATGAGCTATCCTTAATACTCATTACTTCATTACTTCGTCTAGTGCTAATAATGTCAATGATATTGCTGCATATTTTCTATGGAGTTTTAATATCCGTTCATTTGACAACGACAATTTATATGTAAATACACGTATATTTTTGTTTACAAATGATATAAGTATTTCAATAATTATGAAATATGTTTCGGGATAAGACGACTATAATATTTTGAAATAAAATCAAATATTAATAAAAAAAGCGAAGGATTCAACGATTTTCTCGCAGTAAAATGGAAAAACAAGAAAATTCTCAAGGAGATAAAAAAAACTCTCGACAGGCTCTCATTAAACGTAGAAAAAAGACATTGAAAAGAGAATCCACGAAACAAAGCGCGCGCGAAGCTTTCGAGAAATAACAGTCGACGAAAGGAAAAAAAAAGAAAAACGCAACGAAGAAGAACTCGTCGTATACAAACTCCGTTGCAAAAAAGAACAGCACATATCCCGAGCCCGCGAAAGCGTCAATCGAACGAGGAAGCAGCGCACAAAAACAGACAAACACATACACACGAATCACGAGCTTAACAAACAACGGCAGGGAGAAAAAATCTTCTCTCTCGATCCATCACGACTGTGCTCTTAACAATCGGACGAGAAAAGAAAAGCGCAAAGCTGGAATGGCAGAAAAAGGCCAAAGGTGCACACTGAACACAATGCGTTACGTATTTGTCAGCGAATCATCTCTCTCCTTTCTCGGTTACGATGCTATCTCCAGATAAGGGGAGGAGGACTTTCGTTGCACGAGCCTTTTCTCGCTCTTCGTGTCTTTCGCTGTGTGCTTTTTTCCTTCAGCCCCCCCCCTTCCCCCTCCACACACACACACACACACACACACACACACACACACACACACACACACACACACACACACACACACACACACACACACACACACACACATACATACTCACACGTCGATTTATAATTGACGAGCTTGCTCGCCTGGCCCGCAAAAAGCTCGTCTCTTCGATCGTCATTAGGAAATCCCTTCCTGTTACACGACGACTAAGCCCGCGTCGTTTAATTAGCTGGCCATCCATTATATTCTGCAAAATGTTTCAAAGTGCCAAACACACCGGGAGTCTAAAAGCTCGAGTGAGGGAGAAGAGAAGTGAGAGTTACGTAAGAAAAACGTGTGTACGTGCGCAACACCTAAGCGTTGGTGTGATGTGTGCATCACGCGAAAAATTCTCGACTATCCAATCGCAAGATCGACATGGGCTTCGTGTCACTCATAAACGCTTTCGATGATTTTTATCGCGCGCCCGGCGCTTGCACAACTTGCATTCAAATTGAGGGCAAAGCTGCTGCTGTGTATTGTCTGCAGGCGCAAAGAAAAAAAATATTGCGCAAATGCCACGGAGTATATACGCGCTGCTGACGTCGAGCTACATTATGCATATATCGCGCAAGGATGCGAGCGGTAGTAGGGCTCTATCGTATAATCCGATTGTGTTACGCATTTTTTTCATTCTTTTGCTCGGCAACACTTTCGACAGTCAGTGTGTATGGTGTATATATTGCGCACGGGTAATCAAGAGCATAGCTATTTAGGTTGGGTGCCGTTAACTTACTGTTTGCCAACGCCTTCTTCTTTTTACGGATTGACTTGGATCTTGATTGTAATTATGAAGACGATATTTGGAGCTCGATATGAGTGCTGATTATTACCGCACAGGAGTGAAATATGTTTGAGTGTATGATATATATTTGTTCATCTCGAGATATTTTCTTTTATGCAATGATTAAATTTTTTCGTAAACAAATTTTCTTGTTAAACTTTTGTAACAATTGTTCACTTTATTGAAAGGTGATATCAATTACTTGTCGATATAAATAAAAATTTTATCACTCGCTAAATATGACTATATTGATTTTTAAGACATTTAGATCAACAGATAGGTAGCGTTTCAGAATACACGACAAATTCATTTATTTCAATCATATTAAAGCACGGCTCAACGACTTTCATACCAAATTTAGAATATAGTAGATTTGAGCTTCGATAAATATTCAGTTTTATATTAATTTAAGGAGCTATATACACTAACACTAAACCTCTAAAGCGCTCTCGACAAATGGATGCCTAAAATGCCAGAAATATAGCTGCTTCATAATCACGATCTCTATTCCAAGAATGATTAACGTAATTTTTATTCCAATAAACATTTTTTAATTTGATATATATATATATATATATATATATATATATATATATATATATATATATATATAGATTGTGTAACGTTGAAAATAAAAAATTACGATATCATTGATTTAGAATTCGTAACAAATTAAAACTGAGTTTCAATGAGTTTATGATTCCAAATTTCAGAATACCAAAAATACGAGCTTATCAACTGTTACAATAATCCATTGGAAATCCGCAAAGCCATTAACTTGTGAAGTACTTTAAAGGGCCCATCAAAATTCATTCATATCTGAATATATAAATGTACCCATATTTCCCATCAGAGAAACCAAAATCGCCGCTGTGGAAGACCTTGTAAAGGATATGTGATTAAGAGTAAATCGGATACCGCAACGTTCAAAACATAGCACAAGACCTACACGTATGTGCAAATACAGTCGTAGATAAACGCTCTTTCTTGCTGGAAAAACCGCAGCTGTAGGAACAAAGCAACACGAAAATAAGGAGTCGAATGGCTAAAAGAGTGATCGCAAAGCCCGCAAAACGATGCCTCGTTATAAAAAGCGGGGCGTTGCCGTTTTGTGTTTGCTCGATTTATGGCGCTGAGGTGAAAGCATGCGCGCACCATCAGAGCTATCTCGGCTGCATCGTTTTGCCTGTCGGCGGATTGAGCTGTTCACGGCCGCCGTGCAACTCTCTGCTATTTGACAGCTGGCCAGAACGATAAGCGTCCACTAGACCATTCGACTGCACTGAAAAGTTTTGCTTGAAAAATGGAATCAACATATTTTTTGTGACTAAAATCAAAGTAGTTGTACCAATCAATTCCTACATAATGACATCGGGATTCAACGTATTATCTAATAAGGGGGTAAATTCTCCTTGAAAACCTAAATATTTTTAATATCGAAGTGTGCTTATAAAGTAGTTAACACGAGTATAAATGATATCGTCGAGACGGTATTCTGAAAAATTTGAGAACTTAATGAAAAATTAAACTAATGATTCGTCTTCAATGTGCTTTAACTTCATTCACTCTCCGTCAAAGAAAGTTTGCCAACGTTCTTCCCAAACTTCTAATGATTACTTATAGCTACATAAAATTTTAGACATCGAAAATTTCAGTTTATAAGTAATTTGAACTATCAATTCTCTTGAATTAATAATTACATTTACGTAATGAAAAAGTTCTACTGCAATAACGAACTCAGCTTATATTTTCACCTACTTTTTTCAAGTTTTCAGTGAAAAGCTGTAAGCTAAAAAAGTGATCTACACGCACTTTATAAGCTAATATTTTTTTATTTATATTTACAATGCATCTATTCAACTACAAAGGTAACTATCTATTTGCAAAATTGTTCAAAATATATACGGAAAGACGGCATTGCAAAAACGAAGATTAATATTGATTATATAATATCAAACTATAAAAATCAGCATTCGAATTAAAAAATAAGATTTTCCAGGTGGTCAAGTTTTCCGAAAATATTATTTTTAATAACATTGTATTCGTACAAATATCGATAATATAAAGTGATCACAGAAAGTGAAAGGAGATAACATGATTACCAAATGTCGGATGCAGCGTCAACATCCAGTATTGATAATAGAAATGTTACAGTCGTGACCTCTATCATATCAAAGTTTCCAGACCTCGGAATTTTCTTCACACACGCGTAGCTTCTTGATGAGTTTTATCTGAGAATAAAAGAGGAAAGAAGAGACGCAAGTTTAGTACGAAGTATGTGTAGCAATAAGACGCATCGTTTTGCATTACAACATTAAATACGACGTAAGTTAATTCAAGATTAACTTAATTTATTCTGTTCTACTTTCATCAATACTTATTTTTTCATCATTTTTCACAGATTAATCGAATGTCATACCGAAAAATTATGAATTCTCAAAAAGAAAAAATGACGGTGCTTGCACTTTTCGCGCTTATTGCCATGAGTCTCGATGGGGTCGTTGGAATGAAAACTACGACAAGAACTCTCTTCCCGTCACATGCTACGCTGTTACTCAGAGATCGTTATTCGTTCACAAGCCCAGGCATGGTTTTCGGTACTTGCGATGAAACTGTTTTAGTGGCCAAAAAACGCTCGTGTACTTTCGTCATGGAAACAAAGAAGCCCATAGATTCGCCCGACCATTTCCGCGTCTGTGATGTTACATTCCAAGTTAATAGACCAGACGAAGTCATCGGAAAAATCTACAACATCATCGCATTCGGAAAAAACAAAGCTGTTGTTGCATGGAAGGAACCGAACAATTTCGATCGTTATGGAATCATACATTTTTCCGATTGTCGCGCTATCGTCGCAAAAATAAACGACAATGTGAACATCAAGTTTGGTTCAATCATGGCTGCCGCTGATGACATGTTCGATGTAGTCGAGCCTAACTACGGTATATCATCTTGTAATAATGGAACGTACTGCAGGCTGATCATTAATAGTGAGGGCAACATCGTTACCGATATGGACGAATGGATAAGTGTTAAAGTGAATACCATCCTCGCTGCTGTGTATTCGCCGACGAAAGTTCGTTTGGCTATAGATGGCAGTTTATCTAACGGCGATGTCCGAGTTATGACGGCTGATAAGACGAGTGAGTCAATTATGTTTAATATCAGTGTTTTGCTTACGTAATTTCTTTATAAATAGTACTTTAGAAATGAGTAATATTTACTTATTAGTACGAATTTTTTATCTTTTTGACATTATGGTCTATTTACATGTCTTTACGTATGATTTTTTCCATTTTATGAATCGTAGATTAAAATTATACAGAGAATCATGGTGTAATTTACTATTTATCTACCAACATTATTTAATTAAGATTCAATTAAAATAAGGACACTGATTTAATTTAACGTACTTAATTATATAAACTTATAAATTATTTCAGTCCAAGTCTTGAGAAAATACTCCAACTCGGAAAAAAATGTTATCCCTACCATAGCTATCTCTCAGACATACGAGAAACTAAGTATTTGTTACCAGTCGAAGTCGCATATATTCAATTGTTCACAATTTAATTTGAATGGAAATCTACAATTTGAAAATACTTTGGACTTCAGCAGTAACATTCAGACAGCGGAAATTCACAACTTACCAGATGGCGGTTTCATGTTGCTAACTGAGAGTTGCTTAAGTGGTAGTCCATTTAGTTGTGTTCAGAAAAGTAAAAATAGTTTCGTCATTACTAAAATAGACTCTAAAGGAGTTAAAGTCGGATCTATGGTGGTTTCAAAGTTTCGATTTGACGGTCCGATTGATTTGAAGGATGTTCATTTCTTCGTAAATGAAAATAACGAATATTGTTTATCGCACATGTTCGTCAAAATCGAAAAAGGAGGTTCAATGGATATTACGATCACTTGTTTTGAAGAAGAAAATTTAACAAATTCTTAAATTAACTTACTTATATTCATCTGATGGCTTTTTATGGTATGAATTTTCGAATAAATTTTTACATTATTATATATATTATATTTAGTACTTTAAATTTATACATGTTTTACCGCTATGTAATTACAAATTTTGCATTGGATAGATAATACAATTTATTATCATTTTTTCTACACTTTTAGCTTCTGTCTGCAGTATGATGTATCTAATAAAACAATAATAACTAAAATTGTACGTTTATATAAAATATAGTATTTCAATAAAAAAGAAAATCAGAATATTCAACGTAAATGCATGTTACAATAATAATTTCTGACGACTGACTGCTGTTCCTAATTGGAAGTTCTAATGATATAAGTTTGAAAATTTTTATCAATAAAAAAAGTAGAAAATTTCAATTGAATAATTGGATAATCTATGTTCATTTTACCACTTTATACAAGACATTAATTTTTTTTAACTTTTAGTTAATCAATGATTTCGCTCGATGAACATTAAAGTATTGAAGTTTTCTTCAATTTAATTAAATATGATACTACAATTAAAAGTGAACAATTTTATAATTGATTCTTTCAACCTACTTAATTACGATAGATGTTGCAAAAAAATGGTATCTATAGCTATAAAATTACCGTTAAAGCGATAAGGCCGATCGAAATCCAACATAGCATAGAAGTTTCCATAGTTAAAAAGGATTAGAATAAATATTTGGTTAATTGGAAAAATTGAAAAAATAAATAACATGAAGTGGAAAATAATCGATTACTGCGATTTTACTCTCCCTAACATTTTTTATCAAGCCGTCATAAAAAGTTTAAAACATATTACTCCTTGTAAGTTTTATCATTGATTACAAAATATTGAATTCATGATAACTAAAAGACTTCTTCTACATATAAAGCATAGTTCGCATAGGAAATAGTTTAATCTTGACTTATAAACGTTAGTTTTTTTTCCGTGATTGGCTAATAAGTACTAGTAGCCAAATATACTGAAATGGTACGACTAGTTCAATTTGAATGTAGTACTTGAAAACACCAGTCCTGCACAGAATACTAAACGTAAGTTATGAAATTTATTCTTAAATACGTTTTTTTAGATTTTTAACAATAACTTTTCAATTTTTGAACAGTAGTGCAGTCTAAAAATGACAGTGATTCAAAAAGGACATATAACTTTTTTAATATTGATCATTAATGTTCTTACCTATGAATTGAACGCATCAATAAGAATAAATAAATTCATAGAGCTTAGGTACAAAACACGATTGATTGAAAACTATTATAAACCTGGTAGTGCAAGCTTCATATTTGGTAATTGCGACCCTCGACCAAGAAGTTGGGGAAAATTGTGTACATTTGCTATTCAATCAAAACAATCTGTAAACTCCAAAAATCACATAAAAATATGTGACTTTAGAATCAATGCTAATTATACAAATGGCGAATTTATTGGACCAATTCTTGAAGTACATGACTTTGGCAATGATAAAGCAATTCTCACGTATAGAGGAAAATATGATTTTATTAGATATAGTATATTACATTTTTCTAACTGCGAAGCTATAGTTGTTGTCAATGACAAACTGCATCTTGAAAAAAATCATGTAGCATCGGCAATTTCGCATTCAGCAAGATGATTTTGGACGATGGCGGAAATATTGTTACAGGATTGAACAAATGGTTGTGTAATGAAAATCCTCACATACTTGCAGCAATACAGTCACCATTTAAAGGATATTTTATAGTCGATGCGGCAACAATGTTGCAAAAAACTGTTCAAATCAAGGAAGTGAATCAAAATGGTAAAATATCTGTAATAGAATTTAAACATTTTCATAGTTGACCGCTGCTATTTTTACATATGAGGAAATTTGTTTATAGTTCAACATTTATTATTTTTGAAAATTGTTATTCTATATAGTTTATATTCCATATCGTTAGATAGCTACAGAAAATTATCCACTATTATTTGCAATCAGTTATATAATAACACTTTACACACATATGCATAATAATTTATACCAAAATAACAGTGTTTTTCCAAAAATACTAAGTCTTATTTTTAAACTGTTTCAGTTACAATACTGAAAAAGTATTTCAATTATGAGTCATTTTCTTCAACAGTGGCAATATCAAGTACCTATCAAAAATTAAGTATTTGCTACCAAATTAATTCACTTCGTTTTAATTGTTCTCAATATAATCATAATGGACGATTACAATTCGAAACTTTTTTAAAATTCCAATATCCGACAAGATCAGCTAATCTTTATAATCTACCTAATGGTGAATTTCTATTACTTGTTCAAGAAAGTATTGAAGAAAATAACGTTGCATTTTCCATAACTTAAACAAACAACTTGGTAGCCATAAAAATCAATGAAAAAGGAAATTTAGTAAAATTTGCCAAACTACCAATCGATTTGTACGATGTTATAGATTTTTCACAAATTCATTTCCACATGGATGAGTACGGTTATTACTGTTTTTCCTTTGTTTATGAAATTTTATTACTACAAAACAATAAATTAGCGGATTTAGTTATCGCTTGCTTGGATAATCAGGACTTTGAAAATACAGAAAAAGAACATCAAAAACAAATCTTCGAAATAACAACCAACATTAGTTAGTTGTGTTTTCTGTCCATCCTCCTCAAGTAAACAATTATGTATAATCAATTTATTGTTCAAAAAATGTATGTTTTATAACATCTAGTTCCTTGCCTATTAACCAACTTACCTATTAACTTACCTATTAACCTTCAACGCGTAAACATATTATTTAAAGTAAAAAGAAATTATTGTAAAAAATGAAAAATAAATTTTAATATCTAAATATTAGTTATTTTTATCATTCATATTACCGCTATTATATATTATAATTATATTATATTTACTTTCAACACTGAGCAGCCGTTTCAAATCCAGATGCAGGCCAGCAAGTAAATATTCACATAATCGGATACAGTTGCGTATGTTTTACACGAAATGTTGTTAAAATGCAATTTTTCAGCAGTTAAAATTACGAACAAGAGATAGATATTTCTTTTACTAAGTTTTTTATGCATATCCCTAATACATGCTTATACCATCCTAATAATTAAAAAACACCATATTCTTCATATAATAGTGCTAAGCAGTACTGGATCTAGTTTTTAGGTTGTTTTTTTATAAATTCACGGTCTTTGCATATCTTAATATCGACCATGAATCATCACTGGTCTGTAAAAGAAATACTCTGCCTCTTAATACATTTTTTGCTCTTCATACCTCTTCCCTGAAATTCATTGTTAACTAAAGGATGTCACTTCTCCTATTATTAATCCAATAGCTTAACATGGATTCTGAATCACCAGAATTACGATGTTATTTTTGGTATATATACGATTTATGAAAAATAGTCATCGATATTCATTCATTTAATTTCCATATATAATTACTAGAGTTTGTATATTATACCAATCCAATAATTCCAAATAATCTTTGGTATCTCTATCATCAGAGACGACTCTTGACATTATACTTCTGCACTTACGCTATATTATTGCATTTATTTTGTATAATATTCAATATGATATACTATAATATTACTAGAATCCTCAATTTATAATGTTATCCCTGATAATGTATTGAAAAAAAGCACAATAGATTATTATCAATACTTTTAAATTAACTAACTAAGCTTTAAATAAAGTAAGTTATGCATTTTTTTTCTTTTTCTCTTGTTATAATAATCCATGCAGTGCTTTGAATCTGAATTCGATCACAACGCTCAATCATTGTAAATAAGCCAATTTCGAAAGAATTTCGCTCGATTTGCATGATAAAACTATTAATAATACCATTTTTATTTAAATTTTAATACTTCATTTTTAATATTTTTACGCGGAAGTTGGTTTTCGTTTACGTATTTAAGGCAGCATAATGGACTGGATATTTATTGGAGTTCAAAATTCGTAGAACCTTTTATCAAATGCCTTAATCGCCAGTGTTACAAATGATGAATTAGTCTTATTTAAATATATAAATGCCAGTCTTAGTCATAAAAAAGCATTCGAAGTATCTGCATTTTGAAAATCTCACAGTTTGATTTGATTGAAATAGATTATTATTGAGTAAAATTTGTTCACTTGGTTACCAAAGCAAATGTTACCAAATGTAACAATTAGGAAATTTGAATTATCCAGGTAACACAAAATAACCACTGGAAAAGGGCTACTGTGTTCTTGGATCATTGAAACGGCTACAATATTCATTAGTTTTAACTAACAACCCCATACTATAGTGATAGCGTAGGCATAGAGCATGTAAATACAAAATTTGTTATTATTTAGATAGTAGATAAGGTCTCATTAGATACACTAATCTTGTCATGCGAAATAAACATTGGTCAACCATAACCAATTACCATTATCGAGCAACTTGCTTCTGATTGGTTACTTTAATAATCCAATCAAATGTCACTTTGGTAGGGTATATAAGTTCCAGCAACCACGCACCGGGGCTATTGCTTAAGTACTCTTTTACAGGTAACATCAAGCATTGTAAAAATCTCACCATGGCTTTCATTAATAAAATCCTAACTTTCTTAAATGAAATCCTAACGTTCATAGGCTTTTACTATCCGAACTTTGACATCATTTAGAATCTATCTCCCGAACTTTTCCAAATGATATTCAGCTATCTGGACTCTTCTTCTCTCATGAATTGTGCCCTCATATCACACCACTACCTTTCTATCTGCTAATCTACATCCAATTTCAGACAAAAAATCCATTGCTATATCCGCCAAAATGTCATCCGAAAAGTCACCCCTTCTTTCATCCAGTATTTCGTCCCAGGATTACAACTTTTATAGAATCAGCACTTATTGCCATATTTTTTATATTTTAAGATTTCTTTGACTTTTTTTCTGACACAATCAAAAATTTCCTTTTTTCTTTTTAACAAAAGTTTTTTTTAACCAAATACCTTTACTCCAATATCGCACTACTTTACTATTTACAACTCAACTCCTACTATTTCATGAAAAATGTATTACGACGGCAGATTTTCCAAAGCTTTACCATCCACGAAACAGAGTAAATTTAAGCACAAAACAGAATAATAATAATAATTAAACTTTTTTTTTATATCATGTACTATAAGTTTTCAAGTTTCTTTATTTGGAAGATCGAATCGTTCCATTGGTTTGACAACGACTTAAAATTTGACAAGCTTCCATAGAAATATTAACATTCGTTCTTTATCAACTTTCAGCAAGAGAATTAAGCTTACCATAATGACTTTGAACGGTTTCTAGAAAAACGCAAAAAATTTGTTTCTATTCCAACTTTTCACTAGCACAGACTAATCACTGTTAAAACGTGATTCAAATAATTGAAAAACATCTGTGCTCCAAAAAGATTTTTTCTTTAGTGATATCTTTCATATCTAAATCACTAATTAAAAAATTCAACAGAAATTAGGCATATATCTAACGACAAATCTAAATATTACAAACTTTTCAATTACTGCCTTACTCGATTGGTTTAATTAATTGTACATGCTATTATGACTTTGCTAAAATATTTAGAACTTAAAATCTTTTTGTTTATTCCAGTCAGTGTTAAAAAACTTGATTCCTTGTAGTAGGTTGGATTATGATATTACAAAGTCAGATACATACAAATTGCTAACCGTATGCTACGCAAGAAAGTAGAACAATTTGATCAATACTCTGTTTATTTATCATCCGATATGATCATAAAAAATTAAAAGATATATTTTTATGACTTTATTCATCTTTATGTTTAACATGTAAAGAATGTTGTTGTCTTTATTTCCTTTACAAATGAATATACCTTATAAATAAGCTATATACGTATCATATATAACGTGATACGTAATACGTAATACGTAACTTCATTTCAAATATATATTATGCTTCAAGAAAATGTTACTTGTCATTTTCAAAAATATTATACCGTTATAAAAAAATTATAGCCACACATATATTTATATGTATATAGTTTAATTCTAAATAGAAAAATGTGTTTTGGGGGGAAGGAGCATTATGGTAAAAAACCATAAAAATATGAATAACTATCTAAGTCGACATTGTCAGACCAAAAATAGTGATACAATGTTTTCTATTTCAAAGCATTAATTTGTGCTTTGATGTATTAAATAACCGCTTAACAAATCATTTCCGTCCTTAAATGCTTATCTCTCTAAGATATAAGCGCATATGACAAATAGTAGTTAGTGTACATATTGCTGCAAACTAACAAGTATGTCTTTGGAATTATTTCTATTAAAATAAACTAAAATACAAGTATACTTATAATTAATCTGAATTCTATTCTTCAAAAATTCCAACGCAGTATAAAGCAATGTTGGTTTCAAGAAGCGCATCACGCTCAGTGGTGCTTGTTTTTATGAGCATGTTTGTGATTGGAGGAAGCGAGATCAGCATGGACTTTGAGAAAATATATTTACAATATAATACATCATTGTTGGTAGATCGTGACTCATTTTCCAGTCCAGGTATGGTGTTTGGTACTTGCAGTCAAGCATCTAAGATAAAAAATCGTTTTTGTACTCTCGTTTTGGAAACGACAAAACCAGTCAACTCACCAGATCATTTGCAAGTCTGTAATATTACTGTGAAATCAAGAATGAGGTATGAAGAAATCTGCCATATCGATAGACTTGTAGCATTTGGCGATGATAAAGCTATTCTCGTTTGGAGTAATCAAAACTCTTTAATAAAATTTACGATTATACATTTTGCTGACTGCAGTACTTACGTTTCGAAAATTGATAACGACGTAGATATTAAATTGGGTAGAATCGTTGCTGTCACTGACGACATGTTTGACGTTATCGAGCGCTATGATATGCAATCTTCGTGCAAACATTCTCAATTTTGTAAACTAACTTTGGATGATCATGGAAACGTAATCACGGGCTTAGCACCCTGGGAAAGTAATAAATTAGATGATACCTTGGTGGATGTTGTACATTCTCCATTAAAGGGTCTACTCATAGTTAATGCTAATTCTTGGATGAGCAGAGTTCGAGTGATAACTGAATACAAATGTAAGTTTTCTACTGCGTACGTATAATATTGTTTGGAAAATCCTTTTCATTTTACTGAAACATATGGTTCTAACAAATTATTGATTCACCATTTCAGTTCAGTTATTAAAGGACTTTCGTAATCATTATCAAAAACGTTTACTATTACGAACGCCATCAACTTCAAAAACTCTACAAATGCTTACTGTTTGTTACGAATATGACTTTTCATTGTTCTATTGTACTCAATTCGACTGGAATGGTCATATAAAACTTGAATTGGTATTGGAGATTCATACAACTATGGAATCGGTAATTACTGTACATAACTTGCCTGGTGGTGGCTTTATATTAGTTAACGGTGCTTTCTATCACGACAACTACTTTTGCAAGAATTGTTTTACTGTGATTAAAGTGGATGCTAATGGAATTGAAGTAGGATACAAGGATTTTGTTTTTTTATTCCCGTACAAGTATCGATTTGACTTTACAGAAGTTCACTTTCACATAAATGAAAACGGAAAATATTGTCTATCGCACCCTTTCCAGTCAGAGATGAACGATGGCTTTCAAGTGACTTTGACGCTCGCCTGCTTCGACGACAATGACCTAATAGCAGACAATTAGATTGCCAACAACTATTTTTCGAAATATGTTTATTTTGGTATATTTTACCATATTTGTTAAATAATTTTTGCCTTAGTATGTTGTAAAAAAGAAATTCATGTACAGAACATCTATTTTAGCTTG